AATAATAATAATAATAATAAATAAATAAATAAAATGAAATGTTTAAATAGATTATAAATAAAATTTATAATATTAGATATTCGAGAATATTTATTATTTATTTGATGATAATTTATTTTACAAGACCTTTTCCGAAAATAGAATTTTTCTGAAAAAATTGAATCTCCGAACTCTCATGGTGGGAATCGAACACCACATCCACTCATTTCCGGTGAGGTGCTCTAACCAATTGAGCTACACGGGAGACAGAAATTCAATTTAATCAGAAACCTCTTGAAAGAAAGCGACATTGTATCGCCATCTGTTGTTATTTTTGGTCAGCTATTTAATTGATTGATTATCTGTCGATAATTTTACATTCGGATTATATTATTTGATGATAATTTATTTTACAAGACCTTTTCCGAAAATAGAATTTTTCTGAAAAAATTGAATCTCCGAACTCTCATGGTGGGAATCGAACACCACATCCACTCATTTCCGGTGAGGTGCTCTAACCAATTGAGCTACACGGGAGACAGAAATTCAATTTAATCAGAAACCTCTTGAAAGAAAGCGACATTGTATCGCCATCTGTTGTTATTTTTGGTCAGCTATTTAATTGATTGATTATCTGTCGATAATTTTACATTCGGATTATATTATTTGATGATAATTTATTTTACAAGACCTTTTCCGAAAATAGAATTTTTCTGAAAAAATTGAATCTCCGAACTCTCATGGTGGGAATCGAACACCACATCCACTCATTTCCGGTGAGGTGCTCTAACCAATTGAGCTACACGGGAGACAGAAATTCAATTTAATCAGAAACCTCTTGAAAGAAAGCGACATTGTATCGCCATCTGTTGTTATTTTTGGTCAGCTATTTAATTGATTGATTATCTGTCGATAATTTTACATTCGGATTATATTATTTGATGATAATTTATTTTACAAGACCTTTTCCGAAAATAGAATTTTTCTGAAAAAATTGAATCTCCGAACTCTCATGGTGGGAATCGAACACCACATCCACTCATTTCCGGTGAGGTGCTCTAACCAATTGAGCTACACGGGAGACAGAAATTCAATTTAATCAGAAACCTCTTGAAAGAAAGCGACATTGTATCGCCATCTGTTGTTATTTTTGGTCAGCTATTTAATTGATTGATTATCTGTCGATAATTTTACATTCGGATTATATTATTTGATGATAATTTATTTTACAAGACCTTTTCCGAAAATAGAATTTTTCTGAAAAAATTGAATCTCCGAACTCTCATGGTGGGAATCGAACACCACATCCACTCATTTCCGGTGAGGTGCTCTAACCAATTGAGCTACACGGGAGACAGAAATTCAATTTAATCAGAAACCTCTTGAAAGAAAGCGACATTGTATCGCCATCTGTTGTTATTTTTGGTCAGCTATTTAATTGATTGATTATCTGTCGATAATTTTACATTCGGATTATATTATTTGATGATAATTTATTTTACAAGACCTTTTCCGAAAATAGAATTTTTCTGAAAAAATTGAATCTCCGAACTCTCATGGTGGGAATTATTCCCACCATTATTATTATTATTCTTTCAAGAGGTTTCTGATTAAATTGAATTTCTGTCTCCCGTGTAGCTCAATTGGTTAGAGCACCTCACCGGAAATGAGTGGATGTGGTGTTCGATTCCCACCATGAGAGTTCGGAGATTCAATTTTTTCAGAAAAATTCTATTTTCGGAAAAGGTCTTGTAAAATAAATTATCATCAAATAATATAATCCGAATGTAAAATTATCGACAGATAATCAATCAATTAAATAGCTGACCAAAAATAACAACAGATGGCGATACAATGTCGCTTTCTTTCAAGAGGTTTCTGATTAAATTGAATTTCTGTCTCCCGTGTAGCTCAATTGGTTAGAGCACCTCACCGGAAATGAGTGGATGTGGTGTTCGATTCCCACCATGAGAGTTCGGAGATTCAATTTTTTCAGAAAAATTCTATTTTCGGAAAAGGTCTTGTAAAATAAATTATCATCAAATAATATAATCCGAATGTAAAATTATCGACAGATAATCAATCAATTTATTATTTATTTACACATTTAATTATTTTTCTTATTTATTTAATTATATTTTTAAGTATTTATATTTATTTATTTATTTTCTTCTAATTTATAAATAAAAATAGAGAAAGTGAGATGGCTCAGTGGTTTCACTACCTGACTCGTAACCTAATGGTCTGGGGTTCGATTCCTCACGACTGAGTTTTTATGAAAAATATATATTTCAATAAATAAAATTAAATAACGTTTACAGAATATTAATTAAATAATTAAATTATTAAAATAATATAAATCAGTAAATTAATAAATTAATTAAATCAATTTGCGAATAAAAAAATATTTATAAAAAAAATTTTTGAAAAACTCGAGACAAGAATTTTATTGTTGAAATTCATATATATTCTCCAAATCATATTGTATAAGCGCAACATTCGAGAAGCAATATAAAAAAAATACAACAATAACCGAGGCAATAAACACGTCATACTGAGATTCAAATAAAATTGATAGATACACAAAAAAAATATGAAAATAAAAAAAAATAAAAATAAAATGTATTCGACGATTCAAATAATCGGTTTCTTGACTCCTAACTTCTATTGAAGCTATAGGTAAATTTCAAAAGCGTGAAGTTAATATTCAAATTGAAGTTACCCTCAAATGTAAATTCAAAAATATAAAAAATATTTTTTTTTGATTTTTTAGTTTTATTTTATTTTTTATATGCATTTTACTGTTTTTCGCATGTATTATACCCAAAAAAGACAAAAAAACAAAAAGGAAAAAAATTCGTATTATTTAATTTTAATAAAATAGAAAAATATTTTTAAAAAATAACAAAAAAAATTGCTATTTGTACTTTATTTATTTTTAATAATTAATGATTTTAATTATTAAAATAGCAATTTTATTACTTTTTGAATTTTTTTCCTCTTTGCCTCTTTCGTTTGTATTAACAAACGGAAGAAAAAAGAATAATTATCAATTAACAAAACAAAAAAAAATTTAATTATTTATTGATTAATGAAAATATCGATAATTGTATCAATGAACAATTATAACTTCGATTAAAAGTGAAGCTATCAGTAAATGTACTAAAAATTTTAACGACTCATCATTAGCATCATAAATTGAAGCTATTTCCAATCGAAACTACCATTATTCATCGATTACAATGTTCACTATAATAAATAGTTACTAATAATTGAAGTTATCATATTAATTCTAACTTCCAGTCTATGTTCTATGAAGCGAAGATAATATTAATTAAAACTAAACTAGTAATCACAGCTAACAACTATTCTATATATAACAATCTATTATTTCCGGCTATTATCACCTTTCCAAGAATTTCCATTTCAAACGAAACTATTTTTTGTGTAATTTCTTTTTTATTTTTTGTAAATTATAATTATATTTTCGTTTCTATTTTTATATTATTTTATATTACCAGAAGGAATATTTTTATCTGTAACAGCTACAAATTTCACTAGACTGGGTAAATTTATTTATTTATTTATTTATAATTCACTATATTTTTCAAAAAATATTTTTATTTTTTAAATACAAACATTAAAAAAAATTGAAGCTACTATATGAATTAATATTCATATAGTAGCTTCAATTTTTTTTCAGTTTTTCATATTCAATTTTTTACCCGATTTTCTTTAAAATTAAAATTATCTTTATATTTGTGGAATATTTTTATTTTCAAATTAAAAAACTAGTGAAACTATATTACAGCTTTTATACGAAAATATATTTATATTTTTATTTGTAATTAAAAACTATATTAAATACGAAAGAAATAAATAAAACAGAATCAATAGAAAATATTGAAACTACTAAAAGAATTTTTTTTTTCTAAACTGCCAGGGTTCGAACCCTGGATGACGCACGGCGAGTCGAGCACTATAAACACAGGACCACAAATGATATTTTACTATACGAATTCTTCTCTTTTTCATTTTTTTAAATTTCTTCTTTTTTATTCTTTTCTATAAAGTGAAAATATCGCTACTTCAATATTTTCATTTTGTTTCTATTTTTGAAAAATATTTTCATTTTAAAAATATTTTTCAAAAATAGGAACAAAATGAAAATATTAAAGTCATTATGAAAAGAAGCTACAAAACCCGATTGAAGCTAAGATTAATACTAACTATTCATTATAATATTTTATTGACGAAATACCTAAAATTTCGGTAAATTTAATAATGATTCGAAAATCTAAACTGTAATTGAAGCTATAAATAATAAGTGCCGTCATTAAATGAAGTTATCACTATAAATAAAACCATCATTTCGTTTTGTGAAGTTACTATAACAAAAAATAATTGCCCTTACTAAAACTACTATAAAAAATGTGAAGTTATGGTAAATTACGGTTGTCACTAAAATGCCTTCAGTTTTCATTTTTTTTTTTAGATTTTTTCTTAAATAAATAAACATAAAAAAAAGAATTTATAAGAAAATATAAGATAAATATAAATAATGTATTTTTTTTTATTAAAAAAAATATAAATAATATAATTAAATTATTTAAATTATTTTAAAAAATAAATAAAATAAATATGTAAAGTAAATAAAAAAGTAAATAAATAAATAGAAAAATAAGTACATAGATAAATAAATATATAAATAAGTAAATATAAAACTAAATTTAGCTACACAAATAAATAAATAAACAAATATGTAAATTTACCATTCAAAAATTGTTCGTATTTTTTTACGAAAGGATTCGTTCAAAAAAATATTGAAAAAAATAAAAATAAGTAAATAATTGAAAATAAATAAATAAAAATAAATAGGGAAATAAAAACGTAAATAAATAATAAAATAAATTAAACAAACAACTAAACAAAATAAAGATAAAAAAAAATCTTTTCAAAATCCATTCACTTTCTCATCCCCTATATGGAAAATAAAAAAAAAATATCAACTGGTCTCTTACTTTAAAAATAGCCTGTAGAGTACGGCGCTGAAGGTCTGTGAAAACCAGGCGGGGTTTCTTGGGGGCGGGCTGTTGGTGTTCTGCCTGGCTCGCCATCTCGTCTTTCCTCTTGCATGCTGTAACATTAAAATTTAATTTAGGAACAAAAAAAAATCACAATTTCGTTTAAACTCCAACCTATTTATTTATTTTTTCATAAAAATTTTTATATTCCCTCAAAAATTGATTTTAATTATTAAAATATTTTTCCCATACACAAAAACAAAGTTTCTTTACCAAAATAAGAATAAAAAAAAAACGTTTTCCTATTTTTCTCCAAAGGATTTTTTTTACAGTTTAAAAATAAATTTGATTATAAATTAATAAATTTTTTACTCCTATTTTTTTTCCCAAAGTAAATTCTTTCAGTTCCATTATATGGTTTCTTTATTTTGCAATTGTTTTCCACCCCCCCCCTCCCCCCACCCTGTCCTCTCTTTCCAGCAATTATCACAGTAACGATTCTCTATTGTATTGACAATAAAAAATTTTATATTCAATAATAATAAAAAAATTTTGTTCACAAACAAAATAATAGTTATCGATTATTCGGAAAGCGAATCGTTCCAATTTATTGAACTCTTCAATTTTTATTTCTTCTTTACAGTTCATGTCCTCAATATTATGTTTTGTAATATTTTTATTTTCATGTTTCGTAAAAAAAAATTTCTATCTTTTTTTTTATAAAAAAAAATTATTTTTCTTTTATAGAAAGTAATTAATATTTTTATTTCATAAAAAATTATTTTTATTTAAAATTTTAAATATTTCTATTTTAAATTAAACTGTCGGGTGTGTGACAAATTATTATACGAAGATTTTTTAATAATAGGATTACAAAAATGTAATCTAAAATGTAATTTTAAGTACGAAAGGGTTTGTCCCATTTATTCTTATAGATAAATAAATAAATAAATAAAACAAATAATTAATTTATTATTTATTTAATTTCAATTTGATTTTTATTTAATTCTTTTTTAATTTTCAGTTTAATGACTAATTTAAATTGTCACACATCCTTGAAAAAAGAATAATATAATAAAAATAAAAAGAAACTGTTACTTACTTCCTCGCTGTGGAATTTGGGCAGCTGAAAACAGAAAAAAAAGAATAAAATTTAGTAAAATTCGTTTCTCATGAAAAAGTAAGAAAAAATAATCAAAATCAGAAAAAAAACAAAATGATATCATATTTTCAAGTCAATAAAAATTATTGATCGAATTATTCATAAAATGAAGATTACAGTATACACATTAAAAACATAACATGTACAATCATTGAAAAAAGTTAATTTGCATTCACGAGTCCCAATTTAAAAACTACATTTGGTAACATTTCACTAAAGGGGTTTTACGGGGTTTGAGACAGAGAAAAAAAGAGAGAGAGATACAGAGAGAGGTGATTGAGACGTGTGTAATGATGTATTTTTCATTTTAATGTTCTGTTGTTACATTGTTCGTTTATGTTGTTATGTTGAATTTTTCTGCTTAACAATAATTATTTAGATTTTAATTTTATAGTTGAAAAAGTAACTAATTTTTTTTAAAGAAATCTAGAAATTAGTTAGTAATAAAATAATAAGTAATTTGTAGAAGAAAATAAACTAATAATAGTCAAATTTGATTAAATTGAATGAGTTAAGAAAATTTTAGTTTTATTGCTAAAAGAATTAATTTTCAATAGAAAAATAACTAAAAGTATTCAAATTTGACTATAATTAAATTATTTTCAAAGAAAATTTAATTCTTTTGTGCTAAAAATTCTTAAAAGAACTAATTCTCTACAATAAACTGACTAAAAATAGTCAAATTTGACTATAATTAAATTATTTTCAAAGAAAATTTAGTTCTTTTGTGCTAAAAAAATTAATTTCAAATAGATAATAACTAAAATTAATCAAATTTGACTATAATTAAAATATCTTCAAAGAAAATTTAGTTCTTTTGTGCTAAAAAAATAAATTTTAAAAAGATAATAACTAAAATTATAGTCAAATTTTACTATAATTAAATTGACTAAACAGGAATTTTAGTTTTTTTTGGTAAAAAAAAACTAATTTTCAATAGGAAAATAAATAAAAATAGTCAAATTTGACTATAATTAAATTGGCTTAAGAGAAAATTTAGTTCTTTTGTGCTAAAAAACTAATTTTCAATAGAAAAGTAAATAAAAATAGTCAACATTTGACTGCATTTAATTACTAGACAGAAATAGTTTTTTTTCTGCTAAAAAACAAATTTTCAATAGGAAAATAACTAATAATAGTTATATTTAACTAAAATAAATTAGTTAACAAGAGTTTAATTTTTTTTTAGTCAAAAACTAATTTTCAGTTGGAAAATAAATAAAAATAGTCAAATTTGACTATAATTAAATTGACTGAACAGAAATTTTAGTTTTTTTTGGTTAAAAAACTAATTTTCAATGGGAAAATAAATAAAAATAATCAAATTTGACTGAATTAAATTACTGAACAGAAATTTTAGTTTTTTTAAAATTTAAGAAAACTCACTTTCAATAGGAAAATAAATAAAAATAGTCAATATTTGACTAAATTGAATTACTAATTACTATAGACTGAAATTTTAGTTTTTTTTTTGCTAAAAAAACTAATTTTCAATATGAAAATAACAAAAAATAGTCAACTTTGACTAAATTGAATTATTCAATAGAAAATTTAGTTTTCTTTTTTGATAAAAAACTAATTTTTAACAGTGAAATTACTTAAAGTAGTCAACATTTGACTGAATTAAATTATTTAACAGAAATTCCAGGTATTTTTAATTTTTCACATAAAATGAGAATAAAATTAACTCATTTTATATACTTATTTTTATTAACTGAATAATATAAAAAACCACTTTAATCAATTACTGATTTGATTAATTAATTTGTGAAAACAATTATCTAAATTAATTATCTAAATAATTAATTTTGCAATTAATTAATTAAATAATAATAATTAATTTTCATATAACATTTTCAATTTCATTCAATTAAAAAAAAAAATTTTTTTATTAAACAATTTTTTTTTTCAGGATTGTTAATACTAAATGCAATTTTTATTATAATCGAATTTTCGAATTTAGAAAATAAATAAATTTTACTCATTTAATCATTCAAACGTTTGGAATTGCGAAATTAAATTTATTTCTTAAATAATTTATTTAGTTAAAAATAAAAAATTATTCAAAGGAAAGAATTAGAAAATTTATTAGTAACACTGAAAGATGCTATTTTTTACATTAAATTATATTTTTTAATTATTTAGATTAATTACACTACTTTAGAATTTCGGAAAATAAAAAACGAAAGTTTAGTATGAATATTCTATATATGTTTGTTAAATATTTTGTAAAACTAAACTTTTAATTTTTAATAAAATTCAGAATACTGCTAATATTTAAAATATCGTTTTTATAGACTTTAATCAAACTTTTCTAGATTCCATAAAAGTTATTTATCAAAATAGAACATTTTGTATGAAAACTTTGCTTTTTTTACACATTGTTTCTAAATTGAAAAAAACTTTTATAAAATTTCAAATAATTTCTTTTAACAAAAGAAGAATATAAAAAATTCAAGCCTTGGATTCATTTTAAGCAAAAAAAAAAAAAAAAAATTCGTTTTAGTCGATTTAAAAAGTAAATAAATAAAATTTGAAAAATATTGAAAATTATATTTTTTTTGTGTTTATTATAAAAAAATGATAGTTTTTCATTTCAGGATAACATTTCTTTCCGTCCTAAAAGACTGAAAAGAATGTAAGACACTTTACAGGAAAGAATTTGACTTTAGAAAATATTTCTCTCTGTGAAAATCGAAATAAGTTTCACTTTTTACTTATTTTTGTTCATTTTTTTTTTATTATTATTTTATATATTATTTTTTAATTTCTTTGAATTATTTGACAGAAATTTTATTTATTTTTTCGCTAAAAAACTAGTATTCAATAGGAAAAGAACTAAAAATAGTCGAAATTTCGAACATATTCGAAAAAATTCGAGAAAATTCGAAATATTCTCACAATCTCAGTCTTGAAAATTTAATTTTTTCGATCTCTTCTTTTGAGTTAATAATATTCAAAAAAATTAAATTAAAAAAGGAAAAAGAATTTGTTTATATTCACTAATAAATATAGTTTTTTTAATGAATTTTTAAATTCATTAAATTTCAGAAACAAAGCGAAAGAACAATTACAAAAAAAAAACACAATTCTATAGAAGCAAAAAGAGAAACGAAATCAGAATTAATTTTCTTTTTAAGCCCCCAAAAGAATAGGGGTTTGAGAGCAAAAAAAAAAAAAGAAAAAAAAGAAAAATAATTTGAAAACATTGTTTTTTAGATCCTTTATACGCGATTCCAGACAAGTAAATTAATCTGAAGCACAGATGAATTGGAAAAATCGACATTGGCAAAAGACACGTGAGACACGTACATATGTGTTCTGAAATGCAAAAGCAATCATACCCACCGCCATTATAAAGCAGTAATGGATATAAAATTTCAACTGAAGAACGGAATAGAAACCGTGGACAGTTCTGTAGAATATGGACAATTGACGTGTTCGTTATTGCCATGGCTTTCGAAAAAAACGAGCAAAGACTAAAAAAAAGAAGAAAAAAAAAAGATAAAAAAAAAGAAGGGAGAAAAAAGTATCCCTTCTGCAAAATCTGCAGGTTCGTTCTCCGATTCGACTATAGATAGATAGATAGATATATAAAGTAAATCCAATCGAAAAGGATAGATAGTCCGTATGTAGACAGGACAGACGAATATAAAGGTAACGAAAAAATCGAGGTTGTGCCGAATCTGTGAGTATATGGTGTAGATGGGAGAAATATCTATATATATATATATATATGTATAAAGAGAGAGAGAGAGAGAGAGACGTAATACGCTCCATCGAAGGGCACGTTCGAATACTTTGATTTCAACTTCATACACGGAGAACTGTGAAATGTACGAGATATTCAAGCATTTTTATATGCTCAGAAGAGATCGACTCGTTCAAAGTAACGAATAGATGGATATATTGCAAAAACTTTCCAAACGATGTACCTTTTTTTTCCATCCCCCTTTTTTTTTAATATCATATACGATTATAACGTTTAAAAAAAAATTATATTCTTGTTTATTACACACACTAGTCCAGAATTATATTGCGATTCAATGTTTACTGAAGTCTCGAAATTATAAAAAGGGGAAAAGTAGAGAAAAAGGAGAAAATACATCTTTTTATTAGACTAATTAGAAAGTTTTTTTTTGCTATCAATAAAAAAAAAATTAAATAAAATTTGAATACCAGCAGGAAATTAAAAAAAAAATTCTCAGTAGTAACAGTCTCTTTTAGTAAGACACTTTACAGATTTTATTCTCAGTAGTAACAGTTCGTTCTAGTCAGATATTCTCATAAATGTATTCTCAGTAGTAACAGTACGCTTTAGTCAAACATTTTCCTACTTTTATTTTCAGTAGTAACAGTTCGCTTTAGTCAGACATTTCCCTAAATTTATTATCAGTAGTAACAGTCCGATTTAGCCAGACATTTCCCAAATTTTTTCTCAGTAGTAGCAGTCTGCTTTAGTCAGACATTTTCCTAATTTTATTTCCAGTAGTAACATTCCGCTTTAGTCAGACATTCTCCCTAATTTTGTTCTCAGTAGTAACAGCAGTCTGCTTTAGTCAGAAATTCTTTATAATTTTATTATTAGTAGTAGAAATCACTTATAGCCAGACAAAACTGTCGTTTAGTTTGTGTATTAGTAGAAAAAGTATGCTATAGTCAGACAACATTTTTTTCCTATCTTCTAAATTTTTTCCACTTATAAAAAAAAATATAGTCTGATTTATCATTTGTAGACTGATGTAATACTAATTTCAGTAGAGTATCTTAGTTTCTGTCAGCCTATTGATTAAAACAGTTTTATCAATTAAGTGGTAAAAAAATAATTAAAGTATGAAAAATAACAATAAAAAATAACAAAAAATAAGTTATGCTATGTTTAAGTAGTAAACCCAAGTTTTAGTCAGACTAAACAATTTTTATTTTAGTTTTAGTGATAAAATCAATTTTAAGTAAGACATGAA